GAGATCGCGCCATTGCACTCCAGCCTGGGTAACGAGAGCGAAACTCCGTCCCAAAAAAAAAGGAAAAAAAGAAAAATTCGTATTTTTTCTTTGTACCTAATATATTAAATACTGGTACCTTTTCTCCAAGTTTCCTGAGAGCTGTTAGTATCTCCACTTTCTGTTGTGTGTACAGGTCTCTCTCCAGCTTTCCTACCATCAGATCTCTATCCATCTAAAATGTATGAATGCAAGGCATATGTCACTTAAGTGAAAAACATTCTATATACAAAATACAGCTTTTCAGACCTACTATTTGAAAAAAATCCTCTGATTAATATTGTAAAGAACTACAGAAATAATCCAAGGCAAATATGATAGAAATGTTAAATGCTTATTTAGTGTGAATATCCTTATGGAAAAGCAGTAAATAAATAAATAAATGTTAAATGCAGTTCTAATAAATTATCTAGTAAAATATCACCCCTTCCACCTGAAACAATAGCATGTACTATACATTGGGACTATTCAAAGCACTTTTATGCCTGTTACTTCACTTAATCCTCATAACAACCATAAGAGGTAGGGACTATCATTGTCACCTTTTTACAGACAGAGAAACCTAGGCACAAAGGGGATGAATAAAATAACTTGTCCAGGCCTGGTGCAATGGCTCACACCTGTAATCTCAGCAATTTGGAAGGCTGAGGTGGGTGGATTGCCTGAGCTTAGGTGTTTGAGACCAGCCTGGCCAACACGGTGAAATCCCGTCTCTATGAATAACAAAAATTAGCCAGGTATGGTGGTGTGCACCTGTGGGCCCACTTACTTGGGAGGCAGAGGCAGGAGAATGGCTTGAACCCAGGAGGCAGAGGTTGTAGTGAGCCAAGATTGCGCCACTGCACTCCAGCCTGGGTAACAGACCAAGACCCTATCTCAAAACCAAAAACAAAACAAAAAAAAACCACAAAAGCCTAGGCGCAGTGGCTCACACCTATAATCCCAGCATTTTGGGAGGCCAAGGCAGGTGGATCACTTGAGGTCAGGAGCTCAAGACCAGCCTGGACAACATGTTAAAACCCCGTTTCTACTGAAAATACAAAAATTGGCCAGGGATGGTGGTGTGCGCCTGAGGTAGGAGAATCGCTTGAACCCGGGAGGCGGAGGTTGCAGTGAGCCAAGATTGTGCCACTGCACTCCAGCCTGGGCAAGAGAACAAGACCCCATCTCAAAAAAAACAAACAAAGAAACAAAAAAGCCTATAAGCAGACTTCTGGAAGTATCAGGTTCATAAAGATACTTGAAATTCTTAGATGAGATAGGCCACACGTGCATACAAGCAATGTTGTTAATGAATTCTCAATGTGATTTCAAGTTAGAGCTCCAGAAATAAATGGTAAAACATTAAAGGTGGAGTCCAGGTAGAAGTGGTCAGTGGCAATTTAAACTGCCATATGTTGTTTAAAACCCTACATTTCTCATCAACCATAATTGCTCTAAGTACTAATTTTGTCAGAAAATTGTCAGTTGTGGCTCTAAAATCAACTGGCCAATTTTTAAGCCATAGGATATCATAATGAATTGGCCTAGGAAATGAAACCCACAAAGCAACTGAATCAATTTAAATAAATTTTACCTCTGCTAACCTTGTCCGAAGCTGACCTGGTTGTTTCTTTGCAAACAATCTGATGACCTCTGGGGTTTTAAAGGCCTGGCTGATAGCTGCCTGAATAGCCTAGAAACACAAGAAGGCAAAAACTAACCAAAACAGTTGAATAAATCAGATACTGCAATAACTGGCTGATGGCTCTTTAATCTTTTTTTATCAAGGTTTACTGGTTCCTGTCACTGGAAGCAATTACATAACTAAATGAAGATCTGGAAGGATATGTTGTTTATGCATACACAGACACTCATGTAGAAGTTACACCTTGGGTGGCCAAGGCAGGAGGATTGCTTGAGCCCATAAGTTTGAGACCAGCCTCGGCAATGCTGCAAGACCCTGTCTCTAAACAAATTTTTTTAAATAGGCAGGTGTGGTGGCGCATGCCCGTGGTCCCAGGTACTTAAAAGACTGAGGGGTGAAAAGCACCACCCCTGCACGCTAGCCTGGGTGACCCTGTCTCTTTAAAAAAAGAAAAAAAAGCCGGGCGCGGTGGCTCAAGCCTGTAATCCCAGCACTTTGGGAGGCCGAGGCGGGTGGATCACGAGGTCAAGAGATCAAGACCATCCTGGTCAACACGGTGAAACCCCGTCTCT